GCTTTCGAGTTCTAGTTGCATGAGGTTCTGTGAGAAAAAATGCAGGTGGTGATATCAGTGAGATGAGAAGAGAAAGAGAGTCCCTGGGTTATTTCGTAATGAGGTTTAATATTTAAATGAATTTTTTTCTTACTGTATGGTTATATCATCAGTCGAGGGCGTATGGCGCGTTCTATATGATGCAGTTTCAGATTGATCATGTAATGGTCACATAGTGTACTGTGAGAAAAGAAACAAAGGCACTATTGGTTTAGAAAGTATATATTGAAAAAGTTTGGAGTAAGGTTGGAACGAGAGGGTATTTTAATGATTTGAACTTTTGAAAGATGGTAGCTGAAGAAAAATGATTGCTGTTGTAGAGAATGATTGTATTATGTTGTTTTGTATAACATGTGTATCGTTACATTTTATTTTCGATGGAAGCACAATGGATTTGAAACGACGAGATTTACATCTTTTCAATGAAATTTATATCCACAGAAATATGGTGAATTCTATTAGCTATAATACACAATTATATGCAGACGGAGAAAATTGTCTTTGTATTAATGTGACTTGTAGACTTTGTAGAATATGAAAAGAGCATTTTATATCGCTCATTGAATTCAAATGGGCTTGCGTATATCATTGTTTGAAAAAGAAAATAAGTGTAAAACTGTTTGTATTAGTCTAATTTTCATGTGAAACCATTCTAGTCATGTAACGAATAATAAGATATTCAAAATGAACTGATTAAACATCGATTGAAGTAGAACTCTTTTGTCAAAATATACCCGCCAACTAGTCGTATAACATTTATTGTCAATATATAAAGAAAAAAAACTAACAAATTCTATCATTTCTTTTTTATCCCCTGACTAAGAAATTGAATAAAAATGATATTTTGGCTTAAAAGAATTTTCCTTTCAAAAGAATTCTATTGTAAATGAATTTCTTCTCAGGGATATTATTTTTTGTTGTTGTGGATAGTATAAAACCTATTACATTGAATATCTCTGAGTCTCAGTAATGAGATTACTGAAAATTATTTTAACTTATATCAACCTTTTTCGCACAACATCTTTCTGTGATTTCTAAGTATTTCTAAGTCATTGCAGAGAATTCAAAATAATTAGCTAGAATGGGGATTTCTGGCTCCTTCTAAATATATGTTCAGATTTTATTTTAATTTCGACTAAAATGAATTGCATAGAATTAGAATTTGATGTTATTTGCAAATGAATACTTAAAATTTTTCTCCAATTGCGGACTAATTAGCTATGAGCAAATATCTGAATAAATTATAGACCTTGTTTGCACCAAGCAAAATATACTCTTTTTTGCTGCCACACAAAAACTCTTCGAATGGTACTCTAGGATAATTTTGGTCCTCTATTGTGATAAAACATTTAATGTTTTTAATAATCATGATTTGCAATGAGTTAGAACACAAAAGAATCAAGAACTATTAACCTTTTCCGAAGAACTAGTGTAAATTTTGGGATGTCTATGTATACAGAACGTTTATGAATCTTTTTATTCCATACAAACTAACTGCTGTTATAGTTTTTGTTTGAAAAAATGAAATAATCTATAAATATGTGTGAAATGATGAAATATAAACAAGAAAACCAGAGCGGAGCATGAAAAAAAGAAGTAGCTTGTACAGAGAAGAATATTAAAGCACACAGTACTTTGAAAAAATATAGCAACACCTACTGAATTTGACTTCTTTTGAACTTTATTGGTGACGAATAGAACTTTTTTCTTTCATATTCATTAACGACGCATAGATTCAAGTATACTCTTTCAGTATTTATTGCAATTAATATTGGAAGAGCAACAATGAATCTATCTGTTGGTAATGAATTTACTGCGAAAAAGTGATGCTAGTGAAGAATAAAATCCAAAAAAAGTCAAAGTCGAAAGTTGATTTTAGTATTTTTCACGGCTCTACAAGTTGCTAGTAACATTTGTGAAAGCATTAATACATTTTTGTGTATCATGATGAATTGAACTGCATCCGATAGAAGATTTTCTCATGGGTTTTGATCTCTAATGCAGACACGTTCAATGTTTACTCTACTTTATCGCTCTAGATAATTCATTCTCGTCAATGAAGGAGAGAGTATTAATCTTTCAAGATGGATTAGTGATCAACCCGAAGCAAATGGATCTATTCGAACAATAATGTGCAATCTTACATGCAAACGTAAAATTGCAAATAGATGCATTTCGACATCAGGAATATATACATGGGTAACAGAGAGATTGATTAAGTCAGCTGAAATCTCATACAAAACGTTCTATTCAATTGTACAAAGTTTCTATTCGCTTAAGTTAGGAAATTCCTTATTATGTAAGTAGAATTATATACTTTGATACTTGGTTTAGCATCAACCAATAGTTCAATCAATCAAGAAAATCCTTCATCATCTTTAAAGTTAGCTTTCTCTCAGAAATCACCAATTTCGGAACAATTATAGTTCATTCACTTAATTTATAGATTTTCATAACTGTAAGAGTAAAACTGCGCAAAACTATTTCTTATTCATTACCATTGACTATAAGAGCCGATTAGTATTTTTTAAGAGATTGTATAACTATAAGGATTTCAGAGCGATTTTACAATTTCTCAAGTTCGGACTACTCTTACATTTTCTTAGATCTTGAGATTCTTTAGAATTATATTTACTTTATTTTGATACTTTGGTTTTTTTTAAATGAAATTTAACTAATAAGCTCTGTTATATGATCTTCAATTCGATTCATATGAAGAATATTTTTTAGCATTATTGTAGAAACATGAAACAGTGTTGCGAAAGCCTTCAGTGGATTTTAAAAAAACTGAGTAACTTTGTTTTCTATTGAATAAAGCATTATAGGGAAAATAAGAAACGCAATGAAGTCGTTTGACATAACTTGCGTACCGAAATGATTCTTTGTTGTGTTTCTTTTTGGAGTGGGGAATGGGGTGGGGAGGGATGAATATTCATTCATTTTAAAATATTATCATCGAACTGTTACTAGTCTATAATCAGCAAATAAAATAATAATTGTTGAACTAAATTATGAAAAAAATCTGACTCCATGAAAACTTTGAAATTTACCTGATATCGATGATATGTATCGATGATCATATTCAGTTTTACACAAACATTACGAAGTGAACATAAAATTGTGAAGACATTGAGCTTGTCCAGAATACGATAGACAAGGTCAACGGATAATGCCAAAAAAGACGAGGGAATTTAATTAGTCATAAATGTAGCTTGCTTTCGAACACTGTATTTTTTTAACAATGAATGTCTATTGAAAGTGCCTTTTCTTTATCTCAATGTGTTTATTGACTGTGTGTCATTCACCATCACCACTCTTGAGTATTTCTTTAATCTTACACGAAGAAATGAAACAAATACGATACCAACAATCCAATGGAAAGTAAGTTTCTAAAGGTAGATGTCAATGTATTATATGCTTTCATCTGAATTTTATATGAAAATTTCAAGCATATATCGCTAATCGTTCGTAGGAGTTTTCGCATTTGTTGAATATAATCAAGATCTCATTTAATTTTATTTTTCTTTGTTACTTATTCATGTTCGAGATAGAACTGAAGATGAATGAAAGTCATGACAGATAAGAGAGCCAATAGACAAAAAAGAGCGACAAATACATTGATTGAGATGTTACTATTGAGATATTATTGTTAAAATGAAAAATAACTATCATAATTGTGAATACAATCGGAGACTAAAATAGTATCCTTTTTGTATGCACAATTTTTTTGACACAAAATCAGTTTTCGATAATAAAGCGGAACAACTATAATAACATCATTCTTATTGTTTTTTCGTCACTGGCAATAGGGTGTGGGTGTGAATTGGTGTGAACGCAGAGGTTCTTTTCACCAACATACACACCCACATCCCACATACTCACACCCATACCCGAAATTTGTTCTCAATTTATTAAAGCACTCGAACAGAGATTTATCGATAATAAGGATGATGATAGTACAGAAACAACAATTCAAATGATGAGACCATTCTTCATTGTAAGAAAGATTCTATATAATATTGTTTAACCGAAAATTATTTACATTTAGAGCTTAGCAACACAATTAGAAAAATATTTTAAAATGCTTAAAAATTTTCCACATGAAGTTCATCGTCAATTGGCTTCGTTTATTCTAATTGCACTTCAACGTACACATCAAAAAATGAAAATGGACAAATGTCATTCGAACATATTATAACAATAATTTTTTGGTTTAAAATTTCACAATATCTAAAGAATGAAGCTGATGTTCGTCTTTATGAATCACGTATTAAGGGACACTAAGGAAAGAAAATATATAAGTGAGAGAATGGAGAAAAACATGTCCTTCGTGGGACTCAAACAATGCACCTTTTGCTATTCTGACAGATGTCCTAATTCAATTAGACTAGAAGGGATATCTTAATCTCCGTTTAGCGTCAGAGTGTATCATCATCGACACTAACAAAATAATATAACCTTCAAGATAAATATTTTTCCTATTTGTTTTGAATGTAATTCATTTTCTTTTTTAGTTTTTCAAATTAATCGTTTGAGGAACAGTATGAGATGGTTACATTCTACTAACATTCTTATTGAAAATAATGCTACTGCATTAATTTGTGCTTTAATACTTTCATCTATTGTTTGTAAACTATACAGATATTATTTTTCATAAAGATACTATAAGTCATATAAAAAAAACACGATGATACGTTCGATTACAGTCTAGGTTTTTGGGCTTGAATATCGGATGAAAAGATCTGATTAGTTACTAGTAGTAAATAACAACATACAATCAATCATATTCTTCAGTTATGAATTATAATTCTACTTCGACTAAAAATGTCGATCATTTACTATTATTCCATAATTTTGACAAATAATGTGATTTTCAATATCATATTTATTAATGAGAATGAATTCACAACAAGTAAATGAAAGTAAATCATATGTCTATAAGAGAACATCTTATTGTTCAATCACGATCGAGTAGTTATTGTACCAACACGCTGACCTGTTGTTCCAGTTTGTAATGCTATTTGTTGTGATGTAACACGATTTTGTTTTTTAAAGCATAAAGCAGTTCGTACATTTCGTCTGTATGCTGGAGATACGATCATATAGACGTAGAACGTTCCTACATTCATTGTAAAGCTAATAACAACGCTTACATTTGTCCAAAGATTTTCTTTTGCCAATCTTAACTGAGATTTTATCACTGACATAGTAATTTGTGAATAGATGTTGTATATGAAATTGGGTAATGTGGTAATAAAAGCCATTGCAAATTCAGCGAGCATCATTCGATTAACTTGCTGTTGCAAGTGATTGTGCCGAGTGTGTCTTGTGGACCAGAGATTATACCATGTAAGCATACTAAACGTGCCGAGAACGACCAATGAGGTAATATTGGTGACAATCAAGTTAAAATATGTGATGAAATTTGTATATATAGCACGTTTATTGGCTGATGCCGTACATGAATATCCCGAATAGTAGATACCATCTGGAATACAGATCGCTAAATAAATCATACTAAATATGATCACAAGTATATAAGCTCGTTGCACGGTAAAGAGACGACGAAGCCGTACATTGCGTGAAGTATGTAGAAAACGATCAATACTTGCTAAACAAAGACATGTGAATGGCATGTTGAGACCCCAACGTCCAAACAGCCATCGAACTTTACAATAGACTATTGAACCAACTAGTATATCAACACCGGTAATACTGAGTATGCAACGGGGAAAACGGGATGACCATAATAATACTAGACTACCGGCGAATGAGCCAATTAAGAAGACAGAATTTGACATATGACGAAGTGCTTTGAGACGAGTGAAGACAAAAATATTCAATATATTTCCTACTGTCCCCACAACAATCAGAACAAGCATCAAGTAACCATTAAAAAAGTTTGTGATAGATTGAAGAAAAAGAATTTCCCCATTGACCGAGATATTTGCCATCACTAGAATCTGAAATTTTGCGGTGTAATTGAAAAATGTAACTTAGAGTTGCTACTTTAATAATATGAAACAGTATTTTTTTTTCATTAAGATAGTTGAGATAGGTGATAATCTATGTCGTTTCACATGATAATTAGTATGCCATGCTAGTTAATCTGCTTAAATCCCTGTAAATGATGATGGTCTCAAATAGAAATGAGTCTGAGAAAAAGAAGAAGTTGTGATAATGATATGACCTACTTACTTTCATAAAGATATCATCAATACGAACACCCTTATCGACAAAAATAGCTACCATGTTTTCGTCAAAATCAAAAAAAAAAAATAGAAAGTATTTTTTTTATATGTAAATAAATCTCGTATGTTCTTCTACTAACATGCATAGTTTAATTCTATTTCAGATCTTTTATAAGTGTTGTAACGGAAGAAAAATCACAAAATTCCAACAGATTCGAACGCTGTAAAACGATCAGAAAAGAGTTCATAGCTCGAGCTTTTCTGCATATATCGCAAATCTGATCTGTAAAGCATCCTTTATCGTAATAAAATATGAATCCCAATATTTTTGATATATTGTAAGTAAAAACTCAGATTACAGAATTGACGAGGTAAAGATATTTTTAATTCGATATACAGCCCTCGCAAAAAGTTCTGGGGCACTCGAAAACAGTTTCTCAGTACTTTATGTTTAAGTCGACTCTGACTTTAATCATATGTTTAGCACTGTTATTCATTAAACTTTGATATTTTATAGAGCAAATGGATTATTATCCTTTGATCCTGAAAGAACAGTATCAAACAAAATCTTCAGCAGCAAAAATAGTTCCGAGACAATTTTCATCCTAAAGGGTGATTCAAAAGTTTCGACCCCTCTCAGTAAATCGATGATATCTACAACAAAATTATATATAGTTATTGATCAAATTATGTCATTTTACAGAGGAAGATTAGAGCTATCATTTAAAAAAAACCTAGTTTAAAATACATAAATTTATTACAATTTTATGGTCACTTTACTAATCTTGAGTGAAAATTTTTACGTTACATTTTTTGCAAAAATAAAATATGCTTGTAACATTTTAAGCGACATATTGTTTTCTAGATATTTTTACATGATTCAATACAATTCGATAATCTCTACAAGAATATGAATATTTAAAAAAGTTTCAGTCTTATTTTCAATATAAAACTTGAAGGAAACCAGAAAGACTAATAAAAATTTCATGTATCAAATATTAAAGAAAGTAAGTTGAGCTTTCAAAAGTTTTAGCTAGTTGACTATTCTATCTATTCACGCTGCTCAAGAGAGTTATTTTAAGTTTCAGCATGTGACACTCCATCTGAAAACATCAATTAACAGTCGATCAGCTAAAGTTTTTGAAAGTTAAGCATTACTATCTGATGCAAGGTATGTAAGATTCTTATTAGTCTGCGTGGTTTCTTTTGAGTTTCATATTGGAAACAGGGTTCAAATTCTTCTTGATACTCATATACTTGTAGAGCTTGTTGAACTCTATCGAACCATATAAAGATATCTATTAAGAACATGTAGAAAATAATATGTGACTCGACTTTAACGACTCACATATTAAAGGTTTTTTTGCTATGTTTCAAAAAGTGTAACGTAAAAATTTTCACTCAAGATTAGTAAAATGACCATAAAATTGTAATAAAGTTATGTATTTCGAACTAGGTTTTTTCAGATGATAGCTTCAATCTCCCTCTATAAAATGACATAATTTGATCAATAACTTCATATAAGTTTGTCATAGATATCATCGATTTGCTGAGAGGGATCGAAACTTTTGAATCATCCTTTATTCATCAGTAAACTTTTATTCGAATGCAAATAGTGCCATTGGAATGGTCATAAAAACTGAGCATAACTGATATGTTTTCATTGTCAAGGTCATAGAAGACAGATACTTTCTGTATCCAAGTATTTTGCTGAAAAATGCTAGTGGTCATCAAGAAGCTGTTCAGAGGCTACTGAAAAAGAGGAGTAACTGTTTCTTTTCTTTGCTCATTTTGAAGAGCAGACAAAATTGAACAAAATAAGACGTTTTCGAACTTTCCAACATATCAGACAAATATAGTGGGTGATAAAGAAAAATAAGAGTCTGTTTCATTAGTTTTTGACGTGAAATTGACTGAAATATTTTCAAGTTATAGATTTTCTATTTTGTTTCGTCTTGTAATATATTGTTCGATATATTAAAAAGTTCGAAAACGTCTTATTTTGTTCAATGCCACCTACTCTTCAAAATGAGCAAAGAAAAAACATAGTTACCCAGGTCGAGCAAAACGGCGGTTAGTGTGGGTGTATGGGTGTCGGTGTAGATGTGGATGTGGGTGTGGGTCTGAGTATAGCATAACAAGAGATCATACCACACCCACACCCAAATCCTAAAGAATGTATAAGTCCATGAAATTCTACTTCAATTTTATTATTTGATGTTAATATTTGTTGATCATTATCGTTAAACTATAATGCAATTTTTTTGTCTTTATTTATTTCACAATCAAGATAATAATAGGATGCATCTTCTTTAATTGATGATATATCTTTTAAATGATGTGTAAAATAAATAGATAATTTATTTATTCGTATATTTGTATTTACTTGAAGTTTTGCTTCATTTATATGAAATGTCCATCATTTTCAATAAGAATATTATCTTTAAACCATTTGTACTTTTATAAATTAATATAATTTAAGTGGATATTTAATATTGAATCATCATTAAAATCTTGCACAGTAGTTAACGATACTTCATTAACATGAATTTTACATGATGAACCAATGTGTTCTGGTGGACAAAGACACTTATATGTTCCTTGAGCATACATTGCAATACCTCTTGTAATTCAATAATGTATGAGAGCATAATATTTAAAAAAATATTCGTTGTGCATTAGTATAAGATATTAATTGTATTGAAAAACGGTACCATTCAACGTGAACAGATTTATTTCATTCAAATTCAAGAATTAATTCTGATGAACGTTTTTAAGTACCAATATTAAGTGATGGATAAATAGATTCAACAGAAATTTCTCGAGACACAAAAATAAAAACAACAAAATATTATTTCATTTATGAACAGAAATTTTGAAATATTGTTAAAAACATGGTAGAAGACGAAAAATACATGTTTTCGATTAATGAAATTGACCAAAGATAAAGTTAGAGATTCTCTGATAATCGTTAAATTGTTCTTTAAATTGACAAGTACTTTATTAAGTAATAATCAAATGGTGGTTGGAGACAAATGATCAGACATAGTGATTGATATGATTATTCACATTTATGATTGTTGACAACAGTAGAATAGTTTGAGAGAAGTCTTCTCTCATTGATTTCGCCCTATTGACAGTATAGAAGACGTTTACAAGAATTTATATTCAACGGTTGTTTTTTTTTTTGAGTTATGACCATTTCAATAAGCTTTCCTAAAGAAAACTCATGATCTCCTTCAAATCATCTTCAACATCGATTTTCAAATTTAAATTTAAAATTTGTACAAATAAAATTCTCAACGAGATTAGTTCATTGTCTATAAGTCAGATTATCTAGTGTCTCCTAGTCTAAGCTTTAAACATAAGATCGCAGTTTGCTTTTACGCATAGTAAAATTTTCAATATTGATTCTTGAGAATAAGAGATACACGAATATCTGATACTATCATAACGAGATAGGATATGAGTATAAGAACATGGAATGTGAGTAACATTACACTCTCATTCTTATTAAGGTTTTGACAGACTTGGAAAATTATTTTAGATATTTGTATTGTAGTATTTCTATTGAATTATTCGCAATTTACGAACTTTGTACAACGAGATTTTCTGGAGTACATTAAGCTATTAATTTGTAAGCAATTGCATATATATATATATCGTATTCATTAGATTATATACTGTTGTTATTAAGCATTCAATTCTGTTGATATTCTAATATCATTAAACTAGATTTTTGTTTTGAAGAATAATATGTTCGAAGTATATGAAGAGAAGTGTGTTTGATTGTAATAGCTGTATATCAACTGCATATGAGAATATCGATTGCAATTTGTTGCTTTAAAGATTTTTATTAGTATACATTAATACATGACCATAACATATTACGTGTCTCAAAACAAAAATAATTTGATTTATTTCTACTACGATTTGCTTTTCGATATCTTTTGAAGTATAAATAGTTTTGATGTTATTTCACAAGCAATATGCACTTTAAGCAAACCATTCTGGCAAATTGTTTCGTGCGCAACATGTGCACCTTATATAAATATGTTCGCGATAGAGCGTGTAATGAAAAAAACTAAAAAGAAAAAGTAACAACTACACAAAATAACGAGTGATAAGAAACGAATAAATTCGTCTTGCTGCAACCGTAAAAAAAAAGAATCATTCACCAAAACAAGCAGGCAATATTACATATACAATACCATATCTATTCAGCAGGACCTCAAGACAAAATTTTCTTTATTGATTGGTTTTTGTTCATTTCGTTCTTGTGAGTAACTTATCAGAATAACACTAAGATCAGAAATAAGTTTATTAACCCCTTCGGGACGGATCACGTATATATACGTGATGGCTCTGCACGAACTTATAATTCACTTATAAGTGTCTTTTATAATATGTCTCTGGTCTGTTTGAGAACGGTGATCATGGATCGACATTGCTCTCATCTCCCGTGGTATCTTTTCTTTACATGGTCAAAAAAATAGTATAAGAAACACCTATAAGTGAATTATGAGTTCATCCAGAGTCGCCACGTAAACATACTTGACCCGTCCCGAAGGGATTAAATAATGCACACATATCGTTAACATGATCTACGC